GTGAAATTCCAAATTCTACTCCTTTTTGTTATAAAATGAGAAATTCAGCTCAAATTAAGGTCATGAATGCACAAAATGAAGTTTAAAACATGATTTCATATAATTCGCGTTACATCATTCTGGGAATTGAAACAGTAACTGTTCGAATGCACAACATGCCTCATTTTGTGGGAGTGTTATTAGCCTGAACTTTTTTTGAAAGTTATGGTTTAGAATAAAAGCAAAAGCTAAATGCTGCTTAAAAGTATGGTGGTGTAAATGCCATTTGTCCTACGTCATAGGGTGAAATACACAAAAATTCGAATTTGTACTTTTCTCATTTTTGGGTCATCGTATTAGCCCATCAAAGAGCAATCACATACACAAACACTCACAGCTAAGCACGTACACGGATACAGATAAGCAGAACGCTTTTGATGTTTTTATACGTTCCTGCAGAGCATCGATGGTGTGAAAATACATTAAAGCGAGATCCATGATCTATGTGTGGGTACACATGAGATTATTTTGCACCACTGTGATTTAAAAATGAAAATCGCATAGCAACCACGAGTTTTAACTTCAGAACTGCGAAGACAGTCGTGTGAACAAATTCCATGCCACATATATGCCCTCTAAACAGTTCATATTGACCTCAGATTCAACCTCATGCCTAAGTTTAAATAAATTTTTAACTTAAGAAATGAAAAAGACATTCGCTTGAAATTTCGAAACAACTTCCTGACCATGTACAAGAATTTTGAAAAAATGTCTTCGTCCGCAACCACTGTCGAATGAATAGACAAACCATTCAAAAAATGCCAAGTTAGAATGAACTGGCTGCTGCAAAATTATTCTTTCAGTGCTTTTAGTCTGTTTTTCATATTTCCAGGGTGAAAACTGCATAGCAGCTGGGCGAATCTTCGTGGCCGCATCGATTCATGACGAATTTGTAAGCAGAGTGGTTGAGGAAACTCAGAAGCTGGTAATCGGTGATCCTCTGGATCGTGCCACGACACATGGCCCGCAAAATCATCTGTTCGCAATTTCGTTTTGAACATACCTAAATTCCTGTAGTGCTCATTTTGGCATTCTGGTTGCCTTTTTGAAAGGAATAGCCAATTTTTATGCATTTTGTGCTGTGCAACAGCTGCACAAAACGCATACCGTTGCGGGATTGTCTGAGCGTGTCTGTGTGTATGTATATGTGTCTGTGTGTGCCCAATGTATCTTGCCCGCAACTTTTAACTCGAGAGCCACAAAAGCTAGGAAGCTGAAATTTTAGGGGAATGTTACTCGCCGCTTTGATCCCGCAAATTTATTTTCAGTCTTCCCCTGCCTTTGGGGTAACATGTACGGCTCCGTGAAAGTTTTGGCGGGCAAAATTATTGTCTCGGGAACCGCGAAATGGGAATCTGAAATTTTAGGATAATATCCTCCCTCTACGTACGACCTCGCAATTTTAAATTCGGCCTTCTTGCGCACCCGGGTAT